TGTCATATGTGCAGCTCAGATATTGAATGTATAGACAAATAAGAAGGAAGCTTAACCAATGGACTGGAGCAGACATTCACATCCAAGTGATTCTTATATTAATTCATTCTGTGTATATATTGGCTTGTTCAGAATTTCTGTAACTCACTGATTACAGTATCTTGGTACCCAGCTATCTGTCTGTCTCTGAAGGCTTTTCGTGAAATATGGTGGATCCTTCCAATAAAGGCTATGGTCAATACTGAAATCCATGTACTTGGAAACTTAGCAACTCTTTTTTGTTTTGTTTTGTGTTGTGTTGTGTTTTTAATGAATGACAAAAGTACAAAAGGAACAAAAGATAAAATTAGAGGAAAAAGTGCAAGTTATCACTCAATCATAAATCACACCAAATATCACATCTTGTTAATCACGTTAGTCTTATACTGGAAAGGGCGTTAAAGGTTATTGACTCTAACCCTATAATTTCACAGAAAAGGGAGTGACTTCGCTGAGGTTACCTATCTAGTGGGCAGCAACACCATTATTAGCATTTTGATAGCAATTGTCCCAAGGAAATCTAATCACTCACTGGTAAAACTAGTTTAAACATGAAATTATGGGATCAGAAGGGGGCACTTTGAGCTTCTGTACTAACTACTTTCAATAACTAACACACGATGCCAACTTTAAGTATTTTTTGAAAGTACTGAATATTGGCTTTTGATCTCTGTTTGCTACTTCAAAACCTAACCCTTGGATGGGATCACAGACATGGCAGGAAAGAAGGGAATGAACACTGGTTGACCACCTGATGTATGTCAGATGCTTTGGAAATAGAATTGTATTTAGTCCTCAAATACCTTAAGTACGGGCATGATTATCCCCCTTTTACAGGTGAGGAACATGAGGCCCAGTTTAAATAACTTGACCAAAGTCGTTTAGCTAGTTAGGGAAGTAGTCAAGATTCAAAGTCGGTTCTGTCTGAGTCCAAAGCTCAAAATCTACATACACACTGCCTTCCTGGTAGTCCCGGAATGGACTCCGATGTACTGGATTCTATTATTCTTCCAGGCCACTGTTGAGCTACAAATAATCACGTTTATAACCTGACAACCTGATGCCCGTGTGGGGAAAAAAAAATATTATACTGCATTTTCTTGACCCCAAGTCCTTTTTAACTTAAATTTTATTAGTCCTACAGAATTCTTATTTATTTATTTATTTATTTATTTATTTTTAAGATTTTATTTATTTATTTGAGAGAGAGAGAATGAGAGACAGAGAGCATGAGAGGGAGGAGGGTCAGAGGGAGAAGCAGACTCCCCGCCGAGAGCCCGATGCGGGACTCGATCCCGGGACTCCAGGATTATGACCTGAGCCGAAGGCAGTCGCTTAACCAACTGAGCCACCCAGTTGCCCCAGAATTCTTATTTATATATTGATGATAATTGTGGCAAGGGAGAAAGGGAGCGGGAAAACACGCAGGCGGGCTGTTAAGTGTAGATGATTGCTCTTTTCCCCAGTGCTATTAGACAAACATAAAATCTTCCCGTGTTAGGTGAGCACAGATCTTTTCTTGTTTGTCCCTTAACTTCTGCTTTTTGTACTGAGGAAATTAGGTGTGATTTGAGATGAAGTAATAATGGGAGATATTGGAGGATCAGTTCCTTAGAAATATTTGGGTGGATATCGAGGGAATAGGGACATAGAGGTAACGCTATTAAAGACTAATGTACATTCACTTTCGAAATGCTTGTTTCTTGTTGGCTTGTTTCTGCTTAATTGCCTTCCTTACTAATTTCCTTGCTCTCTGTCTGTTCTTTTCTAACAGCTGAAGAATGTTCTGCTGACTCTGACCTCAACTTTCTTATTCCTGTTGCAGTGGGTGTGGCCTTGGGCTTCCTTATAATTGTTGTCTTTATCTCCTATATGATTGGAAGAAGGAAAAGTCGTACTGGTTATCAGTCTGTGTAATCAATTAAATCTAGTGCGCTTTTTTTTTTTGCCATCAGAAGTTACATTTCCATTGGCTAGATGCCAGGAAATGCTGTGCAATTGATTGTTTAAGACATGCAGACTAACCTCAGTGAATTGCTAGCTAACTTGGGCATGAGTAGCTCTTATTTAAAAAAAAAAATGTATTAGGACCAATTTTTTTTTCTGTTTTTTTTCTTCCTTTGTTAAAGTGTAATTGGAAGAAAAATTGTGGCTTAGAATATGTTTTTTAGTAAATAATGATTTTAAGCTTCTGGATTCAATTATGAAAGCATTTCTACTGAAGAATAATTTTGTATGTTGCAGCTACTTGTATTTTGCTACTTTGGTTGACAGTATTTACAAAATCAAAGCTGTTAGAGAATTTAACTTGCTTGGGGAAATAAATTCAAGAACAATGAATTCCTTTTCATTGGTGGCAAGCATAAAATTTGGTTCATAATAAGACTTCCTTTCCTCACCTCCTGATCAGGATTATTTAAATCTGTTTAGTATTTTTCTGTTAAAAAAAAAAAAAAGAGAGAGAAAGAAATGGCTTCACAATATGTGCTTAATAGCAAAAGTCTGCCTGTTTTCTTCATTACCATTCGTGGCAACTGTATTTTAATAAGGATGTCTTTTTTTTCTTTTGCCTCCTGGAGTTTGGAATATATTGATTATCTCAGACTTGATATTTATCTGAAGAATGAATTAAAATCTTCAGCTTTTTTTTTAAGTGTTGATATAGGATGGGTTATGGTTTTTTAGGGTTACAATTTAGATTTTTTTTTTTTCTTAGAGTCTTAACTTGTCCAGAAAGTGAATTCATCCTCCACCAAAAAAAACCCCCCAAACCACTTCTATACTTTGTGGGCCTCCTGCACTCTCCCACTCCCTACATGAATAAGTTCTGATTGACATTTTTTGATGTACTGATTTCTTTTTTCTTGCAGCAGCAAGTGCTAACTCTAGAGGCTAGTGGGTTCTGAAGTATCATCAGTCAGATGGCTGCCTAGCCAAAGCTGGACTGGGATTATACTGTACATTTGTTGATCTTGATAGAGACTTCTCTCCCTGTAGGGACCTCTCATGGCTCTGGCTTCTGGAGTAAGGTACTAGAGACCATTCATCCCAGAGCCCGCTTGGTTGGCTAGGCTGTTGAATTGCCCTTTGATTTGGAAGCAGTGTTGTATTTCTCTAGGGCCCAAATGGCTACTTTGCATACCTGGTATTAGCCTAAGGCAAATGTTTATTGTACCAAGCTGTTTTCTATCTAACTAAAAACAAAAGTCTCCAAAGATCTGCCTTCGCTTCAGAAGTGTTCCATGGATTAAAAAATGAAGCCTAAACCTTAAGTAAAGTTAGTTTGCTATTAAATCCAAGGATTAAGTCCCAGTCTACCTCTCAGCACAATGCAGCTGTGGTGTTGCCCTTAACTGATGCCAGAACTCTTTGCCAGTAACTGGAATTAGAAAATTTTGCTAAAAAGGAAGAGACTTCATCAAGATCTTTCTTTGCTATCTTATCTATATGTTCATCTCGAAAACATCTTTTCCAATGTGGCATAGAGTCAGATTGCTCAGTTACATCTCCCTTAGAACTCTCTAGCTCTGACTGGCAGATTCAAGCTCGCCTCTATTTGCTAAGTACAGAAAGAAGGTTTTCTTTTAACATGTTCTGTGAAAACAATTGCCTATTTGTTACTTGGTCAAAATGATGGCACCATAAAGAACAGTGGCTTAATTTCGATGAATATTTTTGAGATGATTGTCTGGAAAGCCGGATGATGTAAATCAGCTTGTGACCTTGCTAAGTATATGAACTGGAAATTCAGATACATTCAGAATTAAGGCTTCACTTAGAAGTTTTCTACCTTCCGGGTAGGAGACTAATAGCACTAATTCATCATTAGGTATCATGGCTTTATCTTAGATAATTAGCAGACGTGTTTAATTCTTGTTTGAGAATGAAGATTAAAATACAAAATATTTGTGGAGGGTTAAAACAAAAGCTGCTTTAATTCCAATAAAGAATGGGAAGCCCCAAATCTATGAACTGAGGATTCAATTAGCTTTGCTCACTGAGTTCATTTTTCTGTCAGTACAACAGTGGATCAGACAGTAGGACTTTGAACTCACAGATATAAAGGATTGTTTTTCACCTAAGCTTCTTTGGAAGAACGGATGCTTGCTGCAACCTAAAGTTTTGGACATATCAATTTAGTGAACTAATCGATACCTGCAAAATAAAACATACTGTGGTATTCCTGTTTAATCTGATATGTGTGATTTTTAGACCAGTGGATTCAAAGATAATAAAGAGTATACAATCCACATCACTATGGATAACTTCATTTTTATTCCATGTGCTCAGCCTTAAGAGCTTGGATTGATTTGTATAATCTAAGTTCCTCAAATTCTAGTCTCTTGAGTTGTCAGTAGGAATCCTGTGATTTCATAGGTCTGCAAATTAACCAAGTACCACCAGGAAGAAGGCATTAGGAAGCTCTAGTACAGACAATTCAAATGCGGGGGCCTATGTGGTTGTGAAAATTCCAAGAAAACACTGAAAAGAAAATATGGAAATCTAACAAATGTAAGAGTTTGTGAATAAATGGACTTTCAGCACGTGTCTGTTTTTCCTTGATGTACTGTACTCATTGTCGAAGTTCATTCCATTCCGAGCAAGATATACCTCAGGGATATGGCAGGGGCGGAGAAGGAGCCTAACCCATTTTCTGCAGATTCCTTTAAATTCCTTACAACCCAGTCTAATGCTCACATGTTCTATCATTGGATCAAATGACAACACACTCCTTTTTATGTAGGGCGCATTGTGGGTGGCACATGGCATTGAACATTGGCCCTCTGTATAGCTCCTGAGTAATAGGACTTCACTTTCTGATTGTTAGACGTTTAATGGCTGTTAATTAAGTAAAAAAAAAGAAGAAAAAAGGCCTTACTTGCATTTGAGGGACTGGCAAGGGGGTTCCCGGTAGAAGCCGTCATTCTTGTCTCAGCGTCTTCACTGACTATACTTCACAGTTCTGCACCTCGCGGGGCCTTGAAAAGAAGCAAACACTTCAACATGACTGACGGCGAGAAGAGTGGTTCTCTACACGTGGCGGGGAGGGCTAAAAAGTATCTAAAAAGTCCGCTTGGAAAAAAAAAGTCAACGTGGAGGTTCATCTTTTTACGCTCAGTGTGTCTACTCTGGATGCTAGAACGGCCTTTCAAACTCCGAGGAGGTGTTTTCTTTTTGCTCTTACTCTCTGTGAGTATTTTGATGGCCGCGTAGACTCGAGCCCCTTCGTTTCAAGAGATCTGCATCAGAAACCGGAGAGCTCCTGGAACCCGATGCATCTCCAGTAGGAAACAGCAGCTGTAGTGGCTGTGAGCAGGTACAGAGCCGTGCGCTTGACACACGTTCTTTCATTTCATTCTCTCCGAGGTGGTGTGGTATGGTCCCCAGGTCACAGATGACATGACTAGCTTGGCTGCTTAACCAGAGTCGCGCAGGAAGTCGGTGACGAAACTGACATTTGAGCTCAGCTCTGTCTGCCTTCAAAGACCATGCTCTTAACCACTCTGCATTCTGGTTTCTAAGGAACAATAGATTTAACAACAACAACAACAACAAAAGACCCACACATACGCCTTATATTAAATGGTTACAGAAATCTGGCTTCTGTCCTCTTCTATCCTGTGTGTGGTCATCCTCGAAATGTTCTTCAGTATTCTTAAAATAACTTGAGTTCTGTCCCGCCCACTCGAGGAGCGGATGGGTGCTGTGGCAACACGCCTTTTGAAAGATCAAGCCAAGGCCGGTTTGCAATGTGCCTCATCAGTAATGGGAAACCCTGAACGTCACTTTTTGCAGAAGAGCCTCATCTAGTTATTCTGGTCACGTATCGTGACCAGAATCACGTATCATTTCTGCCGTCAAACTGTTCTGAATCATTTTGACTGTGCATTAGTGTGTTTAAGAGACTAAGTGGGAACTCTCTGTCCTCACTTTGCCTAAATTAACGCCATGCTTGCCCCGAGCCGTCCCCCAGCTCTGACACCCGGCGGTCCTTGCTGGGTGGTTCTGAGCTCCGGTACGCGATTCCTACTGTCAGATCTAGAGCCTTGCTGAGAGGATTTCAGGAAATCTGTACCCACATACTTAAAGTTTCCAGCCGCATCTGCAATGCTCCCCCTTCTTACCTCATCCACTGCTCTTCTGTACTCAACGCCACTCCAGCCAGACTGGCCCTCCGGCTATTCCTCAAAGCCCCTGAGGGTGCTCGAGGCCCCCATGCCTGCTCTGCCTTAACCTGGAAAGATCTGCCCCTAGCTCTCCTCAAGGCTCACCCTGCCATCCCGCTCAGTTCTCTTTTCCAATGTCCCCCAGGCAGTGCAGCCTTCCCTGACCACAGTATTTAAAATAGTACCCCCACTCCCGCCCCTGCTTTTCGCTCCCCTTCTTCTGCTTCCACTTACTGCTTATCTCCTCTCACCATCTGACAAACCACACATTTTACTTGTGAATCTGTGTTTCATGTATGGCTCCCCCTAGAAGGGAAACTTCCTGAGAGCAGGAGTTTTTGCTGTGTTTACTACTCTGTCCCAGTCCCGAGAATGGTGCCTGGCACATAGTTCACACGGAATAGATAGTTCCTGAGTGTACGAGTGGTCATCTTGGGCCGTAGCTGAACATTTATTAAGCGCTTAATACTTTATTTCATCAATTCTAAGATGCCAGTGGCATCTTGGGGCGGGGTGCGCCTGAGTGGCTCAGTTGTTAAGCGCCTGCCTTCAGCTCAGGTCATGATCCCGGGGTCCTGGGATCGAGCCCCCCATCGGGCTCCCAGCTCAGCGGGGAGTCTGCTTCTCCCACTGTCCCTCCCCCTGCTTGTGCTCTCTCTCTCTCTCTCTCCTGTTCTCTCTCTCTCTCAAATAAATAAATAAAAATCTTTAAAAAAAATAAAAAAAATTGGTTGTGAGAACCCCATTGGTTTCAAAGGTATAAAAATGAAAAATGTACATCTGAGAATTGCTATGTGCCAGGCACTGGGGAGAGTGCTGGACGTGGATTCTACCATCTACCTTCCATCCATTGAACGCCTCTGGGATTCAGACCCAAGCAGTGCTCTGCCGTAACAGCCTCCCTTTGGTACTGGTTCTTGTGTCATTTTCAGTTCCCAAAACAGAAGGCTGTCTCTCTGGTTGCTATAATTTTCACTTTTAAAGCAAACAATATTTAGCCTTCACTTTCCTTTCTTTTAAATGCTGTATGGTAGAGCATGGCAGGTGTGTGAGAACAGAATTTGAGTCCTGGCTCTTACCACACAGTGGCGGTATCACCTTGGACTTAACCTCTAAGCCAAGGTTTCTCCATGTGTAAAATGGAGATGATGCTCTTACCCATCTTGTAGGGTTTTTTTTTTTAAGATTTTATTTATTTATTTGACAGAGAGAGCATAAGCAGGTGGAGCAACATGCAGAGGGAAAGGGAGAAGCAGGGTCCTGGCTGAGCAGAGAGCTCAACGTGGGGCTCCATGCCAGGACCGTGGGGTCGCTTAACTGACCGAGCCACCCAGGCGCCCCCCATTCTTGTAGGGTTTTAAAGAAAACTAAATAGCATAATGCCACCAAATACATAGTAAGGCAATAAACGTGGGCTTTTTAATGATACGGAGCAAGATCTTCTTTCTAAAGATGATAGATGTCGAATGTTTAGACAAGATCACAGACACAGGAAGTAAAGAGAGATTAGGGCTGAGATAAAACCTTAGGAATGGAAATTCACTCAAACTAGGTTTAAAAAAAGAGAAGTGAATTACGAAGTTATAGGGTAAGTCTCACAGAATCCAAATGAAGGAAGTACATCCGGGACTCAAAGGAACAGAGAGGTAAACTATGAAGCTTCAACTGAGAGAATACACAGGTGATGACTCCCTGAAAAGTTTAGAAAAAGAGGAGTGATAACTTGCACTGCATTTATTAAAATGTGTTATAAAGCCAGAATCAAATGTTAGGTGGGAATAAGAATAGACCAGCAGTTTAACAGGCAACATCCGCGCAAACATCAGCGTGTGTGTGTGTGTGTGTGTGTGTGTGTTTGATAAAGATGTTCTTTTCAGATCAGTGGGGAAAGAGTAAACATTGAAGCTGAGACACGGGGTTAATTACATTTAGACACCTACCTCACGATAGTACCAAAATAAATTCAAGGTTGATTAAAGACTTAAATTTTTGAAAACTATAGAAGATATAGAATCAAATATAGATGGCTGTAGATCTTACCTCAAAATAAAGAAGACCTGTTTTTTTTTTTTTTTTTAAGATTTTATTGATTTGACAGAGAGAGAGAGAGACCGCTAGAGAGGGAACACAAGCAGGGGGAGTGGGAGAGGGAGAAGCAGGCTCCTGGCTGAGCAGGGAGCCTGATGTGGGGCTAACTCAGAACCTGGGATCCTGACCTGAGCCTAAGGCAGACGCATAACAACTGAGCCACCCAGGTGCCCCAGTAAAGAAGACCTTCTTAAGAATAAAGGAAAAAAAAAAAAAAAGGAAATGCCAGTGGAGACGATCTCAATATATAAAAATATAATATTTCTGATCATCAAAATGCCACCGGGCCCAAATTTAAAGACAAACTACAAACAAGGGAAAATACTCGCAATCTTAAGTATGACAAAGGGTTGGGTAATATCCTTACTATCAAATACAAAACAAGATAACAAATATTCCATGAGTGAACTTGAATAAGGACATGAACAGCTAAATCATGATAGAAGAAATACAAACTGAGTAAGTAGCTTGAAAAAAAGGTTCCATCGTCCAGGTAGGCAAAGAAATAGAAATTAAAACAAGAGATCTTTCAAACCGGTTGGGATATTTTTAATGGTGGCATTCACTCTTGGCCATGGTACGGAAAATTGTGCATACTGATAAAATGTTGAATGTGAAAATAAAAATTTGAAAATAATCTAAATGCCCAGTAAGACAGAACCAGTTAAGTCCATTGAAACGTTGGTGTGACAGAATGTTACACGGCCATTTAAAATCATATTCTCAATATGAATATGAGACAGTTCATGTCTTACTGTTGTTAAGAGAAAAACAAATGTTGGAAAGAAAGATGTACCACGATTCTGTTTTGGTAAATAAACGTATATCTATCTATCTGTATCTATCACTGCTCCTCTGCCCCCCAAGACGTGCTTCTCCCTTTTCTTCCACCTTCCCCACGCTGGGTGCAGAATCCCCCGCAAGAGGGGTCCGGATTGGAACCACTACTTCTGCAGTCAAGGAGGCTGCAGAAAAAAGCATGTACCCTATCCTGTTTGGTAGATCTGTATGTACAGACATGTACATAAGCCTGTATGGGTATAAAACAAATACATTAAAGTATAACCAGCAGTCACCCCCAGGTTTGGGGATAGTGGGCGGCTTTAACTGCTTTTGATGTTTCTGTTTGGGTCAATCCAGTTTGCTTTGATAACCAGAAAGGGCCTCAGGAAGGTAATTCCCGCAGAGAGTGGGTCTGGAATCTCCGTGGTGCTCTCTGGTGGTCTGCTCCGAGATGAGCGCTAGCTCTGGGAGAGGACAAAGCCTCCACTCCTACCAGGACTTTCCCCTCATTTAAAGCACGTTTATTTATTTATTTTTTTAAGATTTTATTTATTTATTTGACACAGACAGAGTGCACAAGCAGGGGGAGAGGGAGAGGGAGAAGCAGACTCCCTGCTCAGCAGGGAGCCCGATGTGGGGCTCGATCCCAGGACCCCGGGATCATGACCTGAGCCGAAGGCAGACGCTTAACGACTGAGCTACCCAGGCGCCCCCTAAAGCATGTTTAATTCAAAGAAAAATGCATTTATTTTACACTGTTCCTTAGTCCAGGCACCTGGCCTTTAACCATGCCCCGTGCACAGCTCTGCCAGCCCCAGAGCGATGCAGAGGCACGTTTCTCACCGGCCTGTCGTTGCCTCCTGTGCCATCTGAGAGCTGCTTCTCCCCATCTCTACACGTTTCCACACGCTGCCTGCAGAAGCCCCCACGGGAAAGGCTGGAATTGGAGCCATTCCCTCTGCAGCGGAGGTGAACGCGAGTAGAAATGTAGCCGGCCATGGGCTCTGTGCAGGTGGGGCTGGGAACGAGTCCCCCACTGCCTGCTGCTCCATCTTCCGTACCTCTGTCTCTGCAGGTTCCACCAGCCTGACGCCTCTAGGAGGTGTGTCCGCAGTCCTCTTCTTCCAGTACCTTCTTTTCTATCACCAACACTCCCCGGCCACCAAAGCTGGACTCTTGCCATCTCCACCCACTTCCTTCCCCACCAGACTGCCTCTGTGACTTCGAGTCCTTTCATTATAGTCAATTCTATCAGTCCAGGCATTGACAGACCCTGTTAACGGCTATTAACTGGGAAGGGTAGAAGTTTGAGGCACTGTAGTATTACAGTAGAAAGAGCATGGAATTTGGTGCCGGGCAGATTGGGGTGAGAACCGAGGCTTCACCAACTCCCAGCTGAATGATTTGGGGTAGGTTATTGAGTTGCCACAGCTGTAAAATGGGAGTACAATATCCTCCTTGAAGAACTATTAATAGAGGAATCTATTATACTTCACAGAGCTGTGGCAGTCACCAGGGGGATAATGGCCAAATGTCACGTGGTAGGCCCTCAGCGGGTATCCTTTATACCCATTACCCCATCATCGCAGAGCAGAGTGGTAAGGGTAGGAGAAGGGAGCCAACACTTTTTGGGGATCCGAGAAATTCAGGAGTTTGCTCAAGGTCACACAGCTAGTGAATGGCAGAACAGGTTATCTATGAACCGAGGTCTCTCTGGCTCCGAAGCCCAGGCTCGTCCCTTAAACTAAACTTACTGGCTTTACATGCAGGTGCCCAGCCCAGAATGAAGAGATAATTGAGAGCCAGCCTCAGTAATTCTGGGCAAAGATTTATGAATGTTTTTATGAAAAAAGTCAGCCTTGCAATATTGGGTAATCACACTGGGCTGTGGAAGAGCTATGCCCAGGGATGAGTCTGCTTTCATAGAGACCTAAAGACATTCCAGTGGACATCAGTGAGTTGTGAAGCCCTAAATGAACCAACCATAATGAAATCCTGGCTGATTTGTTCACATTGCACTATGGATTACAAACAAGCGTTGTTGAACTTCAGCGGGCATCAGAAACACCTGTTAGGCTCCACTCCCTGGACTTCTGGAGTCAGGTCCGAGGATTTTGCATTCGTAACAAGTTGCCAGGTGATCCTGATGCTGCTGGTCCAGAAACCACGCTGAGAACCATCAGATAAAAATATCCTATAACATTGCCGAGTCGCATCTGTGCCCCATCCTCTCAAAATTCCAGGGAGCTATTGGCACACACAGGAGTATCACAAAACCAGCCCCTGACCCAGAAAACCTAGCTTTAGGTCGATGTCCCTGATGGTCCTCTTCGTCCCCAGTGTTCCCCTCTAGTAAGCAAGGCCTCCCGGTTACCGGGACTGAGGAGAGAGAGAAAGCTGGTGGGGTAGGGTCAGTTCTCTGCCCCATCCCCTGTCCCTACACCAAGCAGGCAGCCAGGTTCTACCCCCCTTTGCCTCAGGGAACATTTATCTTATTAACAGGCCGTCTAAACCTGGCTGTTCCCCCGAACTCTGAACACCTTCATGGGATTATGCATAGGAGGGAGGGGACCGTGGATTGCAGGGCAGAAATGCAGAAGGGAAATTTCTGCTGGGACTCTGGGAGACAGGGCCTCAGGGAAATGGCTTCTTGGTGCACATAGGGAGGCTGGACACCAGGCATCCGGGTTCCCAGCCTAGACAGAGCCCCGTCCCCACCTCCCCTCCCGTGCCCCACGGGCCCAAGAGCAGCGGAGATGCCCACCTTCAAAGGACCATGTGGACTCGGACAGTGAGGGGAGCAGGGACGTTCACAATGGATTGAAGGCCCCACAGAAGCTCCTCCCCCTCCCAATCTTGGGTAACTTGCTGGAAGAGGAGAGGCCCTCTAATGGTGAATGTGCTCGAACTTTCCTTCACCTCGGTGGGACGGTGGGAAGATGTGGGTTTAAACTGCCGCCCTGGAGCAAACCTGCCCCGAGATGCACACCACACAGAAGACACAGCAGGCAAGTGCACACTCTTTATTATTAGACTCAGGAAACCTCTGACAGAGGCTGAGCTTGGTGAGCTGGGATTTCATGGGGGAACTCGAGGGACACCTTTCGTTCAGACTGGAGACCATCTAACTTCCCACCCCCTGGGCTCCACCTGCCTCGGGGGAGCAGAGAGCCTGCAGAGAACACACCAAATGGGAGAGAAGGGGCCCGGGGCATTCCCAAAAGGGCTTGTCCCAGTCCAGTTCTATTTTTAATCCAGTCAGTCTTCCCAAGAGAAGCACCATCCACAGCATGGTGTTCGCCCTCGGAATCCATCTTGACTGGAAAGGAGCTTGGGATGGTGGTGTCCCAAAGCTGAGGGAGCGAGTGTGTAGCCGACACTCTCCTTCTTCAAGACAACCCAGTGGCCTTTCAGACAACTGGGAAAATAGCAGTCCTTTTCAAGGGAGGAAATCAGCAGGAGTCTCAGAAAAGTCCTGCCCGTACTTTTGTGAGGTTACTTTTCCCCATCTTTGCCACTGCCTGTTTGTCTCCGTTGGGACTGATGTGCTGAGCAGTTCAGTCATTCAAGTCCTTCCGTGAAAGTGCCTTTGACGTTGCCTCCAGAATCACAGAAATGGATCTTGATGTTATTTCAATTGGGTTCACCCAAAAGCCACTACTACTTGCTAGGCAAAGACACCCCCCATGTACACTGTATCCCAAATTAGGCTCTTCTGTCATCTAACCAAACTCATCCAATTGAGCTATAATGTGTGCACCAGATAATAACATATAATTGTAGTTCCTAACATACTGGGCAATCAATAACTATTTGTTCAATGAATTAATGAATGAAATTCAACAAACTTGCTATAACCTCCAACATTTAATACTACCCTCCCATCCACCCTTTGAAATCTGCTGTCAATCCCTTTTCCCTAACAGAAGAATCAAATTCTAACAAAATCTGTCTGCTTTCCCCTGTTCAGGATGTGTGCCAGAATGTCTCCTTTTCCCTGATTTCTTCACACTTCTACTAGCTCCAGCCAGTTGAGATCTCACTGAGGTGAAGCCTGCTGAGAGCCAGAGGGTATTTTGTGAGGATTCATTCACACACTGGGAGCTGGAGTTTCTTCGGCTTCACACAAAGTTCCTGGAGCTTAGAGACACAAAGAACAGGCCCTCGGCTATGAATTTTGTAAAAACAAATCAAGAAACAAAATGAACACTGCTGCAGTTTATAGCATAACAATAGCATTCTCAAGGAAAAGTGGTGTTCCTAGAACACAATGTGCGTATGTTCTAAAAGCATGATTCTTCTTAGCCAAAGACCTGCTATTGTGGGAGAGAGGAGGTTAATGAGAATACAGAAAAGAGAAAAAGAATGTTTCATCATGTCAGCCTCTCCAGGGTGTCAACCAATTGGTAGCAGCCATCCAGAGTCCACCACCTGTGAACTTAAACACAGTTGGAAAAATTTTCCTTTAAACGATTCATTAACATATTCGTTAGAGTCTCATCTTTCTTTAAAGCAATACACATTACACACACACATAAACATGTATGATACGAAACTGGGGAAAGAGATCCACCTGTGGAAATAGCTATATTAATGTGCTAAAAATGGTTATTACTTGATGGTAGGATACTGAAAATTTGGGGCATTTTCGATTTTTCTCTGCTGTAAATAAAAGAGTGAGCTTTTGATCAGAAGAGGGC